ATAATGATCCTCATGGATTATCCATGACTCCATGCTGATACCAGTGAGTTAATACAGGGAGGAGGGAAAACTCTTCCTTACAGCACAATATTAACTAATGAACAAGAAAGTATGTTAGAGTAGAAAAGTCGTCATTGGTTGTAACACTAGTAGGTGAGAGTTTGATGAGGAATTGGTTGCTTACATGGTCTTATTGGAAAAAGGAGCAACTGAACCCCTGTGTTTCCTTAGTCCATGTGTGAGGCCTCTCCATAAATAAATAAGATGAGCCTGGAGCATCTTGTGGGGATAGAAGGACACGAGAATAATGGAGAGGTATCAGGCAGGAACCAGCTGAAAGTGGTTCCCACGGGCCAAATCTGGGGTGAGATGAACATAAATAATGATCCTCATGGATTATCCATGACTCCATGCTGATACCAGTGAGTTAATACAGGGAGGAGGGAAAACTCTTCCTTACAGCACAATATTAACTAATGAACAAGAAAGTATGTTAGAGTAGAAAAGTCGTCATTGGTTGTAACACTAGTAGGTGAGAGTTTGATGAGGAATTGGTTGCTTACATGGTCTTATTGGAAAAAGGAGCAACTGAACCCCTGTGTTTCCTTAGTCCATGTGTGAGGCCTCTCCAGGCCCTGATGACACCTTTTCATGCTTAATTGTCAAGAAAACAAGGAGGTGGCCCGCATATGCACATGTGATCGCAGGCAACATGGGTAACTTGGAGGAAAGGGATGTTCCTTTTTTTTTTTAGTGTATTCGCTCCTTTAAAAAATCAGCTCTATGGAGGTAAATGTAAATATCACAAAAATCCATAATTTTAGCCCTAGCTGGTTTGGATCAGTGGATAGAGCATCAGCCTGTGGACTGAAGGGTCCCGGTTCAATTCCGGTCAAGGGCATGTGCACGGGTTGCGGGCTCCATCCCTAGTAGGGGGCGTGCAGGAGGCAGCCGATCAATGATACTCTCTAATCATTGATGTTTCTATCTCTCCCTCTCCCTTCCTCTCTGAAAATCAATAAAAATATATTTAAAAAATGAAGTCCATATTTTAAGTGTGCAATTAAATGTATTTTGACAGATTGCACAGTTTTAACCATTATAATCACATTTCTATCAGCACAAAAGGTTCCCTGGTGCCCATCCCCTGTCTCTGGTCCTGGCAATGCAATCTGTCACTCCAGGTGTAATTTTCTAGAATGTCATATAAGTGAAACCCTACAAGACGTGTATGGTGCCTGAGTTCTTTAAGGATATGCTTTTGAGGCTCATCCATGTGTCGTCGGTTCTCGTAGCTTGTCCCTTTGTGTTGCTGCTATGGCGAGTGTTCAGTTGTGAGTCTCTACCACACTTTGTTTATCCATTTAGCACTTAGTGGATATTTAGGTTGTTTCCAGTTCTTAGCGATTATGAATAAATCTTTCAGTCTCATTTTAACAACAACAAAGAAATTCTTTGCCCCCCCTGCTTTCATTCTGATTGGTAAAATAGGGGCAACCACAAGTCTGGTTAAATGAGATCACCCGTGTCTGAGGCCTGAATGAAAACCATGAGTCTCTCAAACCACAGCTGGAAATAACCTCCCATTTCTCTATGTTTTGGTGGTTTTCCCCCTATTGCCTTTTACTGTAGTGTATTTCTCTCCTACCTTCTCTCCGCAGTCCTTTCAGGATAAGGACTACGCTATATTTACCTTTATTTGACCCAGTGCCTAGTAGAGTATCTTTCACATAATAGAGTCATAATAAATATTAAATGAATTCATTTAAATTTTCTCTAATTTCTTCCTTGGATGCCTAACTTATTTGTTTTTTGTTCTTTCAATCCATTAATGCATTCCTCCTAGAGTGTTATAAAATGGTTTCCTGCCCAGCCGGCATGGGTCAATGGTTGAGCGTCGACCTATGAACCTGGAGGTTGACCTATGAACCTGGAAGTCACGGTTCGATTCCTGGTCAGGGCACATGCCGGTTGTGGGCTCCATCCCCAGTACGGAGCGTGCAGGAGGCAGCCAACCAATGATTCTTTCTCATCATTGATGTTTCTCTCTCTTTCTCTCTCTCTCCTCTCTCTCCCCCTTCCTCTCTGAAATCAATAAAAATATATTATTTTTTTTAAAGAGTGGAAGAATAAAGTCAGACTAATAAGAGAAAACAAGAATCAAAGCAAGTTAGCAAATACCAATACTTCACCATTTAATTTTATCCAAAAGGTGTAGTTTTTCAAATGGAGTGAACGTTGGACAAGGATTTAAGAAACAAAAGTTGGTGTGAACTCAAGCATTTGTGGGTGGAGTGTTCCTTCAGATTGTCTTATTGGGAGACCCACAGTAATCATGGTTCCTATTCTGCATTGAATTTCAGATTTCAGTACTTAGGCACCTTCTCATTCCAGACATTGATGGGAGACTGGCAACCCCTTTGTGAAGGGAAACAGAGCCCCAGTTTGCAAAGGGGAGTCCTGATATGACTGTTGTCTCTGTGTAATGATTAATCCTGCCCTTCCCCCTTCCAGTGGGTATTGGTTTTAACAATGCATCTTATGGTCACCCAGTTACTAGAGATCACAGAGCCCAGGTCTCCCTGCCTGTACCCCCAGCTCTAAGGCGGGTCTGGCATGGGGATCTGACTCAGTGAGAGCCCACAGTGCTCTCAGCAGCATCAGCCCCAGCTGCCATGAGAGCCGCCTCTTCCAGCCACTGTCTCACGGAGTGTTTGTCTCATCTAAGACTCGAGCAGGCCCTCCGGCTTCCCTTCAAGACTGCAGCTGCCTTCCCCTGTGCTCAGGGCAGGAGGACATCCATTCATGAAACACTCACTGCCCATTTTCTAGGCGCCATGTGCCAAGGACTGAGCTGCGCTCAGGGACAGAGAGACAAAGATGACAAAGAAAGCAGATGTGTAGAGCAGTAAGGGAAGTGCGATAAAGGCTGCCTTAGGCGGTTGTCTGCACGCACAACATACATGAGGACACTGCAGACAGGGTAGAGTTCACTAGATAAAAATGGAAGGAGAGGGGAGAATTCTGAGCAGGCTTGAAGGAGTGATGTACACTGAGCAGGGGGCTAAGGGCTGGGATGGCGGGTGAGAAAGGGCTGGGGAGAGAGAGACCAGGAAAACAGAGAGAGACACATGCAATGATCCATGGCCGGAAAGCCGTGGTGTGACTGAGGAGGAAAGCATGGCCTCATCTGTCCGTTTGGTAAATATAGGAGTTTGGAACTGAGCGCGAGGCCAGGCCTTGGAGCAAACCCAAGGGGGTGTTGTCACTCGAAACACCGGAAGGGACCCTCCTCACATTAGGGAGGACCCCTGGTGATTCTGCTTGAGTGAGGTGTGGGTGTATTTTCCTTCTGGAATTTTCCACCACAACATTGCCACCCGTGTTGACCGGCCTCGATGCAGGCTTTCCTTATGTTGCTCTATAATTAGAAGCCGGTGAACGGAGGTCCCACAGCGGTACATACGCCAGTAGAGATCGCTTTATGCAGTTGTTTATTTTCAGTTTGGCAAGGCAAGGCCGTCAATATCGCAGTTAGTAAACTGAAGCAGCATGGAGGAGAAGTGCCCGCAAGCGGATCGGCGTTAGCAAGAGCTAAGTTGGTTAATTGAAGGAAACCCTCATCTCACTCACCCAGATTTAGAGTATGAAGAACCAACCTAATGTGTGAGTGTGTGCATGTGAGCATGTGAGTGTGTATGTGAGCATGTGTGTGAGCTTGTGTGAGCATGTGTGTGTGAGAGCATGTGTGTGAGCATGTGTGTGAGCGTGTGAGCATGTGCGTGTGTGTATGTGAGCGTATGCGTGAGCATTGTGTGTGTGTGTAAGCATGTGTGAGTATGTGTATGAGCTTGGGTGTGCATGTGTATGTGAGCGTGTGTGTGAGCATGAGCATGTGTGTGTGAGTGTATGTGAGTGTGTGTGTGAGCATGTGTGTGTATGTAAGCATGTGTGGGTATGTGTATGAGCTTGGGTGTGTATGTGTATGTGAGCGTGTGTGGGAGCGTGGGAGCGTGTGAGCATGTGTGTGTGAGTGTATGTGAGTGTGTGTGTGAGCATGTGTGTGTGTGTAAGCATGTGTGGGTATGGGTATATAGTATAGAAAGCGTCTTTTCCTGCACTTTCTCTCTGTGTGACCCACAGGGGCTTCTATTATGAAGTGCTGGGCAAGTTACTCATTTCATACATGTTCACATGACGTGGCTGATAGGTGAAAATATTCCACAAAACATGCACATCCTTTCCTTGCCTCCAGATAGAAGCTCTGGAGACATTACATTTGAGATTCCATTTTCCTTTGGGAGGGAAGTAGAAGTGGCCTGCAAAGCTTCGTTTACAGAATTCCAGTCTGGGTGGATTGAGCCCTGCTGTTCCTTTAGCTCCAGGACCTTTGGGAAATAGTAACCAGTCACCAGATAAAAGACTCACCAGGGCCACAAAACATGAAGAATGTTACAGCAGCCCTGGCCGGTGTGGCTCAGTGGATAGAGCGTCGGCCTACGGACCAAAGGGTCCTGGGTTCGATTCCGGTCAAGGGCACGTACCTCGGTTGCAGGCTCCTCCCCAGCCTGGGCCCTGGTCGGGGCTCGTGCAAGAGGCAACCAGTTGATGTTTCTCTCACATCAATATTTCTCCCTGCCTTTCCTTCTCTTCCACTCTCTTTAAAAATCAATGGGAAAATATCCTCGGGTGAGGATTTAAGGAAAAGTTACAGCAGAAGGTGTTTGTGTTTCAAGGTTACAAACTACCATCCCTCAGCTGTCACGGTTTTTTGATGTGGAAAGTTGAGTCCTGAGTCCACTTGGATGGACGGAATGTACTTCACATTGTACGAAAGGTCCTTTGGATTTTCCCCTAATTGCAGGGGGAGGGAGGGAGTGGAAAGACTGTTGTTTCTTATGCGGAACAATTTACTGCGTCTCAGCTCCCTGTGGCCCGTGGGGAAGGAATGGGGGTGCGTGCATCTGTGGATTAACTTCTGTCTCCTCCCTGCCTCGCAGACTGGAAAAAGAGGCCATTCAGCAGAGCTTCAGCAGCGAGGCAAAGGCCCAAGCCCTTCAGGCCCAGCAAAGGGAGCAGGAGCTGACACAGAAGATGCAGCAAATGGAGGCCCAGCATGACAGGACCGGTAGGTGGGGGGCGAGGGGGGCAGCACGGGGCCCGCGCCCGCCAGCCGGGCCCACGCCTCACTGTGAAATGACATCAGAAACACCTGTAACCTTTGGCTGGCCGAAGGGAGCAGATGCTAACTACACCGGAGATTCCGAATTACATATTAGTTAGCGTTTAAAAGGGAGAGTGGGAAGCAGTGCCCACTGTCTGTTGATTTCGGAGTGCTGCTCTCACATCTGCTGCACCATCTGGATTATGAGTTTATTTACCTGTGTGCAAGGAACGGAGAGCTGAGAGGGACCACAACAAAGTAGAAAAACAAAGGGCTCGTTTTTGGCTGGGTTCGCGGGCACACATGTTACAGAAAGAAAATAGCATCCGAAGCTCTGCGGGAAGCGCTCCGAGCTCCCCGTTAAAGCCTCCTGAATAGCGCGGAACGGCTCCCACAGAACACGCATTACAGCGCCTCTAAGAGCCTAATGAGTCTGCTTCCGCATCCAAACTGGAGAAAAGCTTTCGCCATTAATCGGTTCTTAATTCACTGTCGCAGCTGGATGTCATTCAGCGGCTCCAAATGGATACGTTCCTTTATTTAATCTTTGCAGCTTCGAACATTTTTAGCATTTGGACGCCGCCCCCGCCTGCCCCCCAGCCCAGTTGCGGGTGATGTGTAATCGTGGCATTCTTCAAGTTCTCCCAACTGCTGTTGAAATTCACTAATACAAGGCATTGACCACAGCTGGCAGCTTGGCTAAAAATTGCCATCTTTCATCGCCTTGGCGCTGTTCTGCAGGCCGAGTTGGCCAGCAACTCCTCACCTTTCATTTGAAAGGAAAATGCCCTTTGAAACAGGCAGTTGGGTTTGTGCGGTCGGGGCGGGATGCGGGTCTTTGCACTTCTGAGTTGTGCGTTCGCAGACAGTGTTAGTCACAACAGGGCCGTGGCAACTCATTATGATTCCACGACACATCCTCCAGGCTGATCGTCCCGGTAAAACAAAAGTTTCATTGATCCGCCTCTTGCAGAAAAAATGTGGCTTACTTTCCAGTGCTTTGATTTATTGTGCTGTAAGTGCTTTCTGCTACAAGGGAAAAGAAATAAAGGGCCTTCGGGAGCCTCGCACTTAAAGGTGATTTTCACCTGATTTAATGCCCACTGGATTGGATGGTGTGGTCAAAATTTGCCGCACATTCTAAGATGAAAAGTTAGCCATTCATTAAATAATCTCTTTACTAAGGAAGTGGCAAACGTTGTATTGAGTCACGTAATTTCCTCCAGCAACTTTATTAGAGACTTTCTCCTACTAGAATTTGTCACGAAAAAGAATGAAAATTTGCCAGACTTACTCGATGTTTTCCATGAAAAGAAAAAAGGAGGAAATTAGAGGCTAAGTTATTGTTTGCCTCCACTGCTAGCAGGATCCTCGTGATCGTGGAGTTGGGCCGATCCCCGAGCAAGATAAGATTATGTAACTGTAGAACCATCTTAACAACACTTCCTCTTACGTTGCACAAAAATACCACACTCTCTTCAATCTCTTTGACCAGATCTTCATTGAGGCTCATACTGTTGACGGTGAAATGAGATGACATATTTCACCTTCATAATGAGCAAGGGATATGCAAGGTTGGCAGGGTGGGTAATGAAATATGCGAGCAGACACGAAACATCAAGCATGAATGACAGCATAGAAGAGTTCCTCAATACCTCAGCTTTGAGTTATCTGATTGTAATAATTGTTGACACTTTATAGTAAAATTGTCCAAATAAAAATATCATATCTTGCATATTACAAGATATAAGCATATATGACTCCACTGGGGTATTGGGTAATCTAGTAACATGTTGAAACATTACACCACGCTGGTGTGATCAAAAATGTTTCTGATGAGTAATTATTCGAAAAATAAATGTCTCGCAAGATTCAGAGTCTCACCAGGTGAGCAGCCCTTTGACTGAGGACATCGAATGTGACCTCGTAACATATGGGATGTGGGTAGCGTCTTAGCGCGTTTACACTCTACATATGGAAGCACTGCAGAGCTACAGCCATAAACATCTTATGTTGGTGGGGGGTTATTGTTATTTCTAGAAAGTGAACAGTATTCATTGCTGACCTCCCAGAATGCATTTTTGACAAAGTTAAAGGAAGAGTGCTGTACGTTAGCCAAGAAACTGGAACAAATCTCTCAAAAGAGCAGGTAGGTGATATTATGTAATACTTTCAGAGCACTGTTTGTTTAAATTCTGTAATTTTTCTTTAAAGCACAGCATTTCCACTATTTTACAGTCAAATGTCAAAATTAGATACAGTAGACACCCCTTGTTCATAGTTTTACTCTTTTATTTTTACATATATATTTTTATTGATTTCAGAGAGGAAGGAAGAGGGGGAGAGAGAGAGACATCAATGATGAAAGTGAATCATTGATCGGCTGCCTCCTGCACGCCCAACACTGGGGACCGAACCCATAACTTGGGCTTGTGCCCTGACCGGGAATCAAACCTTGACTTCTTGGTTCCTAGGTTGATGCTCAACCACTGAGCCATGCCAGCTGGGCAGTCACCTTTATTTTACTTAATGATGGTCTTAAAGCACCAAACTAGAGCTGCTGGCAATTCGGACACGCCACAGAGAAGTCCTAAGTGCTCCCTTTAAGAGAAAGTGGGAGCACGGGTTAATAAGGTATTTCGAGAGGTTGGAAGAGTGAGAGAGACCACAGTCATGTGGTTTTTATTATAGTATATTGTTATAGTTACTCTATTTTATTATTAGTTCCTGTTCATCTCTTACTATGCCCAGTTTATAAATTAAATTTTATCAAAGGTCTGAATGTACACAAACAGATTTTTCAAGCATCCACTGGGGTCTTGGACCATATCCCCATGGATAAGGGGGCACTCCTGTGTGTGGCGATATATTTCCTTGAAAATATTTTCTCTGTATGAACATCTTCTTAGTCGTCCTTACAGACACCTGGGTGTTCTTTTCGTAATTATGAATCTGTGCTGTTATTTGACTTTTTTAATGGTTAGGATTGAAAACTAGGAAATTTCACCACACAAAGGTCAAGATGGCATGGCAACCCTTGTGACAAAGGATGCAGATGAGTCAAGCAGTTTCCAAGTCTTACGTTGTTACGTGTAACATTTCCATCCATTATCACAGTTCTCTTTAGCTATACACACACAAAAGCCATCGTTATGTCAAATAAAAATAGTTGGAATGTGTATCTATAGAATAAAAGGGGATACTTTGAAATAAATAACCTAAAACCATCCTTTCCTTCCTTTTCTAAAAGTATTTTATTTTAATGAGCCAGGCACTGTGCATTTTATATGTACACTACTCTTTCAGAAACCCACTGATTGGGATCTTATTGAATTTTTTCTGCATACTTTGTAATCAGATTATCTCAATGAATGAATGATTTTATATTCCACATTGTAAAAAGCCTGAGTTCCCATCTCAGCTCTGACAAGAAGTAATCTCAGAGAAATTTATTTGACCTGTTTGAGCAGCGGTTCCCTCTGGTAAATGAGCGCTGTTGGACAGCATCCTTTGAACTGAACCATCAAAGGCAACGTTCATGTAATTAGCTAGATATCAAATGTCACATTACCCTATAACCTAAGGAGAAAGTTACCTGCGTAGCTTCCCTTCTGTATTTTTCTGAAACTCACTTCGATCTGCACAGAGCAAGCAGTATGACCCAGCAGCTCATCTACTGACTGAGGCGTCTCATTCAGAAACGTTCCTGGGTGGATCAGAGCATGTGATCGCTCTGAGTTCTACCTGGGGTTCCTCCATCAGTGAGCTGGCTTAGCGGTAGAATCCCCATCCCTGGGTCTTTGGGGCAATCGGAGGCTTAGGACTCCAGTTCTCTCTGCCCACAGGCCGGCAGGGGCTCTTATAGCCACTGAGAACTGCTCTGACACGTGCTCCTTCTTAGCAATACTAATTATTGATCTCAGGAAGGGAGAGGGAGGGAGAGAAACATCAGTGATGAGAGAGAATCATTGATTGGCTGCTTCCTGCACGCCCCACACTGGGGATGGAGCCCGCAACCCAGGCATGTGCCCTGACCGGGAATTGAACCCTGACCTCCTGGTTCATAGGTGGGCGCTCAACCACTGAGCCACATCGGCCGGGCTGCAAATACGAATTAAATATCTTGTTTGGGTAGGGGAAGGCTCAGGACCCACAATGCCAGCTATTTTCAGGAAGTCTGACAAGGAAACCGACGTGATTTTGTCATGAAAGAGATTTATAGAATATCAACAGGAACTGTTCCTAATGAGAAATGTTGGCTTTGCCTCACATGGATCCAAGCATAGGTAATCGTTAGAAACAAACCAACTGAATTATATAATTTAAGAAAAGTTATATTGGTCTGGGGTTTACAATACCCTATTTTAAGATTGCTTTGTGAGTGATTATTGATTAATTATCTTGCTTTCTGAGGAATAACTCAGGAAATTGAAGTGGATAAAAGGGAAAGGGGTGCTGTATTCTCGGTAAATATGATTTCATTCTCACAACAGCTGGAGACAGGTATTACAGATGAGGAAACCAATCCACAGAGTGTTGAAATGGCTGGGGAGTGGGAGAGCTAGAGTCCCACCTTAGGTATTTCTGGTTCCAAAACCAAAGATCTTTCTTACAAGTGCAGTATTTTACATCTACTGCTAAAAAAAATCCAGGCCAAGTTGTTATGATGGGAACGTTTTTGGGAAAAGTTAATCTTTAAATCCCCAAGGAGAAGTGGGCATACTGGTCAGGTGAGTGGGTTTACCTGTGCCCTGTTCCCGGGGCCCCTTTCATCCTGCTGCTGGTCTGTCAGCTTACCCTGTGCTGGTCTAGCGAACTTGAACCTCAACCCCACCCCAGCTCCTCATGCTCCGATTCCTGTAGCTCTTGACCACTGCTTAATCCATTGAATGTGTTTCTTTCATCTGACACACAGAGGCGCTCAATATGTATTTGTTGAATGAATGAGTGAATGAATGAATGAATGAATGAATGAATCAAATGTGGTGCTCTCCCCACCCCAATCCTGACTGACTCTGGTTCCAGCCTGTCCCTTTGTTGATGACCCAGGTTTGAGTCCACTCTGCCATGTAGCTTCGTAACCATGGGCACAACCCCAGCTTCTCCCCGTGTAAGGACATGTCTAACACCGTGTTCGGGATTGCTGTGGGAACTGGAAATTTAGAGAGGGAGACACGGGTACACATCCAGACATAAAGCACCAAGCGCAGCGCTGGACCAGGGGCGCATGTGGCTGCTGTGTCACCGCTGGCATGGTGCTGAGGGTGGGCACTTGGACCTCGCTTCACCTGGCTGCTATCGGTGTTGCTGGGGTCTGAGGGCTATTTCCTGAGAGACATAAAGTCATTATCACAAGGAAAACCTTTGTAGTAAAGGCAAAGTCAGCTGTGGGTATGGTAGTGACTCGGGTCTTGCCCTGGCCAGTGCCTTGTTTTGTAAATCTGAGGAATTAAAACAGCTCCGCCTGTCACTTCGCAAGCTGATCCCCAGCTAAGGCCTGCAAACAGCAAACACTCGATAAATTGTTCCTTATTATTATTATTTTTAAATATATTTCTATTGATTTCAGAGAGGAAGGGAGAGAGAGATAGAAACACCACTGATGAGAGAGAATCATGGATCGGCTGTCTCCTGCATGCCCCCATTTGGGGATCGAGCCTGCAACATAGGTATGTGCCCTTGATTGGAATCGAACCTGGGACCCTCCATTCCAGAGGCCGACGTTCTATCCACGGAGCCAAACCGGCCAGGGTTTGTTCCTTACTAGTGTTAAAACTTTAAACAGCTTCTCAACTTTATAAAATAAGTATCTTATGTGTCTCACAAGAATATAATCCACAGGGTAAATTGTAATTTTAGAGTTTTTTGTTTGTTTACCCTTAAACTTTTCAATTCAGCCTCATTCCCCCTGACTTTATGTAAAGACTGTGAGATTTTCAAAATTCATGCAAAATGTAACATTCCGTTTTGATACTGCTTTCTGCTTTGAAACCACCTATAACATTTGAAGAGCTCAGAGTGTTTCTTTTTGAATAAAGATTATAAACTTATTAAACCGTCAGGAAGCCCTCCCACACCGTAAACTTCGGGGATTAGTCATTTCCCCTGAACTCTGAGTGAGGAGATCTTGGAGTGCTGTCATTCCGGAACTCAGTCTCCAAAATGCCTATTTCAACCACGTGGTACATTTAATCCAAGTTTGCTTCTGATTTCTACAGTAAAAGTTTTCCTGAAAGTAGGTGTATCTTATTTTGTATCTGTCAGCAATTGAAAGCACATTTTTACTGCTCCCCCTTGTCTTAGTGGCATTTCTCTAAGAGTTTCACATTATCCAAAATCCCACACTAAACCCATGGGTTCGTTATTTAAAATAAGCTTTCTCTTTACTCACAGATCTAGTCATGTGACTGGGGCCCGGGCAGAATGACTGGGAAAGTGACAGCTGGGGCTAGCTGTGCCTGGGCACTCCACCTCTCCACCCCAGCCTCAGGGGGAGGTGTTCAGAAGCGGTTCCCATGTGCATGTGTGGTGCATGCGTGCGTGTGTGCATGTGTGTGTGTCGGGTGTGTGTGTTTCTCCCCCATAGCGGTGCCTATTGCCTCTGTCCTCTGAAGCCCTGTGATTGGCCTTGTGCGCATTCCACGCTGCAGCTGCGGTGCCCCAACCCGGGGCCTGTGACTGGCACGTCCCCTTTAAAAACTAAAAATGAGGCGGCCCCCCCCCCCCACCGGGTGCGTTTTGTCTCGCTTGAGTTTGCCCGCCAGACCAGAGAGTTCACCCGTTCCCTTCCCGTGGACGCCAGGCAGACATTCTGGCCGATGCTCCCTGAAGCTCACATGCACTCAGCTCCCCTCCCCCTTCATCCCCCAGGCGCTGACAGCTCCTGCAGTTGCAGGGTAGTTCTTGAACTTGGGAAGTGGAGCTATTTAAATACCTTCCTGCTGCTGCGATTTTTCTTTGTCAAAGTGTAAGAAGGGTTCCCTCTCCCCGGCACGTGGATGGATGAATGAATCAGCCGTGAAATGTGTGGGGTGCAGTGTGGCCCAACGGGCCTGTGACACCCCGAGAGGCTGGGCTGGTCCTGAGCACGTGCTGGAGTTGAGCCCCTCAACACTCCCACGTTGGAAAGAACAGGACGGGGAGCGCAGAACAGAGCGAGATGGTTCTGCTTCTGTTCTTTTCCATCCTTGTCGCTCGCTCTCCGGGTTGCTCGGCTGGTGGATTGATGGCTAACCTTGCCTATTGTGGATTTGT